AAGCAACAAATAAACCTGGTCTTGTGTGGGGGTTTTCTTACAGTTTCGTGGTTTTGGGGTTTTTTTGTGTGCGATTTTTTTTTTTTAAATCGTTGAGCAAAAAATGTATTTTTTTAATAAAACTTGTCATGTTCACTTTAGCCTGACAAATATCAGTCAGCCACCAAGTCATCGAGTGTATTTATAGTTTTTAATACCAAGAAATCTGTCAGAAGAGCTGTGAAGATTGACGCCTCTGTGCGCCCTCGCGATAAAGAGGAATAAAATTTCGCACAAGACACCGGTTCTTTCTGCACTGCGGCTGCGCGCGCATCCACTGTGTTGATAAACAAATGATCCGTCTTCATGACTTGATGAATTAGTTCCTTTACTGCCCCCTAGTGTTCCTTAGAGGGAAACAACCCACTGAAACCCATTATAAAATAATTATTTGATCATATCATATTTATCATATCATAAAATAATGCATTCCTTTAAGTTACATCTTCTTTTTATCTCTATACATCCACTTGTGATTTTTATATTAAACTAATAGGTGGTCCTCTGCTTTTACATGTAATGAATGCTGCAATACTGCCCCATTTTTTAAACCAACATACAACAAAATTGAATTGTTTTATAAACACAGTTGTGACTTTATTGAAGCTTTTGGTCAGATTTTAATGCAGTTCAGGTCATCTGCACAGATATCTGTCTTTTGCAGGCAGGCTTCATGCCGCCTGAAGGAAAAGGTGAAAGTCATTTGGACATGCTAAGGAGGAAAAACAAAAAATCTAAAAATGCTGCGAAGAAAATGAATTATTGATTATTAAAAAAATTAACAAAACTATATAGTGGAGTTTATATTTTTTTATGTAATTTTTAATTTTATATTTTCATTTCAAGCTAAGATTACTTTAAAAATGGACTAGTTTGTGGTTAAAGTAGAAAATTGTATTTATTTCAGTTATATAAGGCACTTGAGCTTCCCTTATGCAACAACTGTTGTGTTAAATTTGAAGGAAACATTAAGAGCTAAAAAAATCAGATTGTAAAATTAAAACAAAATCTGAAACTCTGCCATCATCTCCAGACGGTGCTTTACCTTCAGGTGTTGATTAAATGTTGGCATTTTGACGTCAAATTAAACTATAAAGTATGTTTATTCAAGCTAATTTTTCATTTATTAGTTTAATTAAATATAATATAGCCTATAAAGATCCTAATTATTGGTAAAAATATTTTCAACATAAGATAAAGCTCAAGAATTTGTGTCCACAAACGTCTTCAGTTGATCCAAAACGCTGCAGCCAGAGTCTGAACTGGAGCTGGTGGGAGAGATCTTACGTCTCCTTCCTGTCCTCTCAGACCCAGCCGGTCGAAGCTTGTCCTGAGCCTGGTTCTGCTGGAGGTTTCTTCCTTTTAAAAGAGTTTTTCCTTTCCACCGTCTCCTTTGTGTTTGCTCAGGATGGGAGACTGCGATGAAACGATGACTCGGCACAATCTGCTGGCCACCCTCTCTTAGATAAATAAAGTTACTACGTGAAGTTTTGTGTGTGTGAATGTTTCTGTTCAGCGCCCTGAGACAACATGTGTTGTCACTTTGTGTTGTCTAAACGAGCTGAACTGAAATAGACAGAAGGTGCATTTGGAAACGTGAATCCACTCGTGTTCCTGTTCAGGAAGAAGCTGCAGGACGAATGAGATCATGATCAAAAGAAAAACTAAATACGACTGATCCAACTGACATGATCAGATCCACATGAGGATCTCCAGCAGCATGAGGTCCTGTTTTTTTATCAGTGGTTTTCTGTTCTCATCTCGCTACACTTTCCATTAATAAAACCAGTTGTTCTTTATGAAGACTGGTGTATTTTGAGCTTCAAGCATCAAATGGCACAAATCTTTTAATGTGAACACACAGAGACTAAAGCAGAACGTCTGACTTAAAGGTACTGCATCTCTGAAGCATCATCTAAGGTCCTGGCTTCTCTTAGTGCACCTTCAGGTTGTGTCAAGCCAAGCTAGGCAGAGGAAGCCCCACTCTGATTAATGATGCACCTGATCTTTGCACCTGTGGGAACTCTTTCAGGGACTTTTCCTTCAGTGGATGAACAATGGAGTCTCCACCTCCTCCAGTGAGAGAACTGGTAAGAAGAAACAGCCCAGCAGAGGAATGCAGTGAGACAGGCAGGAGCAGGATCTAAACCACACACATGTGATGAAACTGGTTTCTACATCTTACTGATGAGCCACGTGAGAAATTAAACACGCCCCTTTTATCTGAGGGTTCATGTTTCAGGACATGACGATAATCTCCTGTTGAGCAGGTCTTAAAGTAGGTCAGTACAGCCTCAGGTGGACAACAACGCCTCACGTCCTCTTTTACTCTCTGTTACAAAAACTCAACCAAAAGGGTAAAAATAACTTGTTACATTTCTGCCAGGCAGCACGGTGGCGCAACTGGTAGAGCTGCTGCCTCTCAGCGAGCAGGTCCCTGGTTCAAACCCCGGTCCGGGGGCCTTTCTGGGTGGAGTTTGCACGTTCTCTCCGTGCATGCATGGGTTTCCTCCCACAGACCAAAAACATGCATGTTAGGCTGATTGGTAACTCTAAAAATTGTCCCTAGGTGTGAATGAGAGAGTGAATGGTTGTTTGTCTCGTTTGTCTCTATGTGTCCCTGTGATGGACTTGCGAGCCGTCCAGGGTGTACCCCGCCCCTCGCACAGTGATTGCTGGACATGGGCACCAGCGACCCCCGTGACCCAAAATGGAATAAACGGGTAAAGAAAATGAATGAATGAATGAATGAATGAATGAATGAATGGACGGACGGACGGACGGACGGACGGACGGACGGACGGACGGACGGACGGACGGACGGATGGACATTTCTGCCACTTCGACAGGACCTGAGATTCAGGGTCAGGAGCTGCTGATCAGATGTGCTGATCAGTTGTGGGACCAGATCTAGAAAAGCCATTTGTTGCCGTTCTGAAACATACAGTGTAACACAATGCCAAGATGGAAAGACATCAGCAATGATCTCAGAGAAGCAACTGTTGCTGCCCATCCATCTGGGAAGGGTCAAAGGTGGTTTCAAACTGTTCGTACAGCCCATCATTCTACAGAGAGAACGATTATTCACAAGAGGAAATCATTTAGGACAGCAGCAAATTCACCCTGAGGTCAGACTGTGCAGACGTCAGTTAGCAGGTTAAAGGTCAAAGGTCATGACTTGTTGGAGAAAACCTCTTCTTTCTAAAAACAAGAAGGCAGCATGACTTCGGTTTGAAAAGTTACATCTGAAGGAACTGCAAGACTTCTGGAACAAACACCAGACTAGAGAAGACATGATTACCCAGAATGCACAGCATTCACATGTTCAGCACAGATCACAGTGTTGAAAGCCAGGGAATAGTAGTGGGTATTTAATCAGGATTTGAAAACTGTGAGGGAGGGGGCCTGCCTGACAAGCAGAGGTAACTCATTCCAAAGTCTTGGTCCTGCGACAGAGAAGGCCCTGTCACCTCTGCGCTTAAGACGGGTTCCTGGAACTGTGAGACACAACTGGTCTGCTGACCTCAGAGAACGCGGTGGGACATATGGCTGCAGCAGATCAGTGAGATAGAATGGTGCAGAGCTGTTCAGTGATTTTAAAACATACAGAAGGATTTTAAACTGGATTCGAAGGTGAACCAGTAGCCAGTGCAGGGAGGCCAAAACTGGTGTAATGTGCTCTCTTTTGCCTGTACTGGTTAAAAATGGGTTGGGATTCTGGAGTCACATGTGAGTCCATTTGTTCAACAGCTGAAGCTTGGCCCAAACTGGGTCCAACAGGAAAATGATCCCAAACACGTCAGCTAATCTACAACAGAATGGGTCAAAAAGAAAAGAATAAAGGTGCCGCAACTTTCAAGTGAAAGTCCAGAACCTCAGCCTGACAGAAATGCTGTGCCGAGACCTTCAGAGAGCTGAAGCAACAATGGAAAGAAGAGTGGGCCAAAATCCTCCACAACCAAATAGGAAACTGATAAAGTCAACGGAAAAGCACCGAGGGATCCTGCTGCTTCAAGAGGTTCTACAAGGAACAGGAACCAGTTTCTCCACTCACAGCTTTAATACTTTGTTTTTGTTAAAGAAATGGTGACAGTGTGGGATGTTGTTGTTTACCTGACCTCCTTTAACGACCTGCTGAAGACTGAGTCAGCATTTGTTGTTGTTTTTCTTTTATCAGCTGTTTTTAGTAAAAGTTGTAGTATTATTCTTTCCACACACACAGAATGGCTTTCCTCACCGTTTTATTTAAGATAACGTTTCAGTTTGTTTGACAAAAATAACACTGATAACCATGCTGCGTGCCCGCGCATGCGCACGGAGCTCAGCTGATAAGGTTGACGTGAAGCACGCGCTGAACCGTTTCTAACGTGACGGGGCTGATCTGATCCAGAACCAGAGTCAGACCCGCCTCGGCAGGTGCACCGGGACCCGCTGTGCACTCTGCGCGAGGACAGGGCAGCCGGGCTCGGTCATGTCTGTTGTTTACCTTCCTGTGGTCCCGTCAGGCACTCCCACTCAGATCTCCCTTGCAATATAAAGCGTTTTAAGAAACATGGGCCAGGAAGAGGTCAGCTGGATCTCACCGAGCTGCCGCTTGCCTCTTGTGTTTCTTGTGATTCGATGTTTAATTCGGGGACAATTGCTTTCACTGACACTTACTTCCATGATTAAAACCTGCCATTTGCCATTTTTTAATCACAATTTAGCAACCACTTCCGATGTCGTCTCAGGCGGCGAGAGCGTGCTATGAAAGTTCACATTTTTATCAGAAATAAAAATAGCGTGAGATTAAAACTGATACCGATATATTTAGAATAATCAGATGCCCATCAATATAACCACATAGTTTGTTTTAAAGTATTTGTATGTTAGTTTTAAGAGATTGTATTTAAAGAGGGATATTTTTGAACGGAGTCTGGCCTAACGTCCAGTGAAGGCTGCAAGCTAGCGATAAAGCTCACCTCCCCAGATTCCGATCTTCAGCTGAGACTTGTCCAGATTCTCCACGTAATCCCCAATGAACCTGTTCAGGAGGTCACTGACCAGGGACTCGAAGACCATGACTGAAAGCTCCGATTCGGACCCGTTCAGGGTCACTGACTGTCGGCACCTGAGTTCCGGTTCAGGTTATCCTGCAAGTCTGGGATCGACTCGCGCTGTCTGCGAGGGTGTGCGAGAAAAGATGATCAGGGGAGAGTGAGTCAGAAACAGAGGACGGCCTTCTGATCTGTTCCATAAAAAGTAAACTGTGTGTTTCCTTCTGGAGCAGGAGCTGATCTGCTCCAGATAGAAATGCCATGCTCCCTGAAACAGAAAGACTGGGATGGCCAATAGCAGCACTAGGCGAGATGTATGGCCGCCATCTTCTCAAGTGCTAGTTGCATCACTCTGTACTGCGTACGAGCAGAAGTAAAAATAACAAAGTCCATGCTCAATAATCCAGGTATAAAAAAACAACATTTTTCAGTCAGGTCATCTGGACAGTTTCTTTTTTTGTGCTGAAACGTTTCGCCTTCGATCCGGAAGACTTCATCAGTAGAAGTAAAAAAAGTTAACTCGTTGTGTTGTCAGTGTGTAAGCGCTCAGATGAAGCCCAGTTTTACTTAAATAAACAAATATAATAGATTTTGTGAAAAAGAAGACAAATGTATTATGTAATGATTCTCAATAGGTCAGATCAAGCATTAATATGGTCAAAGCACCAACCCAGAGCACTACAAATATAAAATGAATAAATGTAATAATTTTAACCAGAACGGAACTGTGCTTTAATTAAGTACTTTAAGTACCTCTCAGTATAACCAGAGCTTCTTAGATTATCAACAGAAAATATTAAAGAAGGGGTGGGTCCGTGGTTAATTTGAGCCGGATCCTGCCGGAACAAGATCCGGGAATTCTCTCATTTTCATCGTGTGCGTTCCGCAACTGTTCAGTCAGCTCATATCTCCGCCCATAAAAGTCCAAAGTCATTGCACATTTTTATTTTGATTATTTATTAATCATACAACGACAGGAGACTTCGTCCATGTCTGTGTGGATGTTGTAGCAGGCGCAACAGCTCGCGCACACGCTGCTGCCAGCAGAGACGCGGAGCACATGTCCCGCTGGGATGAAGCGTCTTCATCCACCTTCAGCGCAAACGCAGCTCTAACCACTCATCGTATTTACTGGAATTTTTGATGTGGGTGGTGTCAGCTTCACCTGCTCAGCTGTGCGCCCTGCAGACCGTGCACGTTTTGCGCACAGGAGCGTCTCCAGACAGCTCTGCAGAGCGCGCACAACTGCCAATGTATCAGAACTCCTGCATACATTTCAAACATAATAAATAAAAAAGCTTACAGTAAAAAAATAATAATACGAGTGAAATGTTTGATGTGTATTATTCACATTGCACATTTCAAATTTAGTCAAAATAACAGGATCAACATGTCAAAAAGACCGTCCCATTTATTGTGTAAAATAAATGGATGACTGGATGGTCCTCAGCTGGACAACAGAGAGTTGAAGCGCCTGATAGTGGAAATAGAGAGTGGAGCAGAACAACGTGCAGGACTGAGTTCAGCTGAGAAGAGTTCGGTCGGACAGTGAAGTGTGTGTGTGTGTGTGTGTGTGTGTGTGGGGGGGGGGGGGGCTTGACAGAATCGGAGCTGCCATGCATTCAACCTTTATTTAGACAGATAAGTCACATTGAGCTATAATTCACTGCTCTCTAAAATAGTAATTTCAATTCAACCTTTATTTCTACGGGTTGTTCGTCTCATTGAGCCTCGTCATTTACAAGAGAGACCTGTTTTTAATCAATTTAATCAAATGTTTACAGATGTTTAACAACCTGTTAAAATACACCAAAATGCAGGAAATGGCATCTCTTTCATTCCGAATTTTCTGGGGGAGGAACCATGGACCCCCCAACCTGGACCGCCTGCTATTTGTGTTCCGCATCAGTTGTATTACAAATTAAGCCCTGGGTGGATGCAAGGGCGTCAGAAGCATCCGTAAAGTGGGGGGGACACAATGAATGTGCGAGTGCGCGTGCGCACGTAAAAAAAAAAAAGGTGTTCACTAGTGAACAAAAAAGCAACATTTCACCTAGATTTCCTTTAATTCCACACATTTAAAACATGTTTCTCACCAAGTTTGTGTAAATTCAGCTGTGGGTTTTAAAGTAATTTTAACTTTAATACACTTTAATACAGAGCGTCAAGTCGGCACTATTTGTGTTTATAGAGGAATAAAAAACATCACCACTGGACTTTTTTACTTGTGTTCAATTCAACACTACTCATCTAAATGATGTTTCTCATGAAGCTTGAGGACAATAAGGTGTGGGGTTTTAAAGACATTTCAACTTTAATGCACCTGAACACACAGAGTCTCTTACACCTGCAGCGTCTCACAGTGTCACAGTTCCTGCTAAGAGAACATGCTACAGACATAGCTCCTCTCAAGCATCCTCCTAACATGAATATATGTTGATGATCAACCCCCTGGTCAACCACTGCCCACACTAAGCTGCTAAACTGGCGAGCGAGTAACACAGAGGTACCTCCACCTCCTCCACCTGTGCACGTTTTCTGCCGAGGCAAGAGGCAGGAAGCGACGGTGGAGAGTTGGAGGTAACCAGGAAAACCTGGAGTGGAGTTTTAGTGGCTTGAGTATTCTCCTATTAATCAAGTGGAATGGATTCGTTCACGAAGAAAGAGAAACTGCGCTGCCTGAACTAATGTTTTATAGTAAAAGTGTGTGTGTGTGTGTGTGGGGGGGGGGGGGG